TGCACTACTTCTTATCTACACAACCAAATTTTTTTTTTTTTTGAAGACAGAATGTATATAAATAAATAAATAAATAAGATAAAAAATAAGGGGATGAGAAATGCTTGCAATTTTATTTCAGAAGAAGAAAATTTTACTCGATTACATGTAAGTTTTCAGAAGACTTCACAGATTTTTTTCGTTTTACTTCTCTTAACAATTTTTCATGAGCCTCTTTTACATGCTTCTCTCTATTTTCGACTTCTGTGAGTCTCGACATTATAACCGTTGCATAATATTGCACTGCATTCTCCAACTGTGCATTTTTCCTTTTTAGCTCTTTCTTCTCCTTACATATATTAACTAATTGTTGTTTTAACAAGCACACTTCATCTCTCCATTGCTGATTTTCTTGTACTCTTGCTTGTAATCGTTGTGCCATATTAGAAACTGCAGTCATTACCTGTGTATTAAGAGTCATAGTATTATTAATAGTATCGATTTCATTTTGATTACCAATAACACTAGGACCCACATTTACAGGCATGGCATGTGACTGCACCACTGGTACCCTCTTATTTGCCTGCATTATAGGCACCTCATGCAGGTCCGAACCGTTGATGGCTAAGGCAAGGAATGACATGATTACACAAGAAGGTAAAACAAAATTTTCTCTCCGACACTTGATATTTTTGTCTCTTTGCCTGTCATCATTGTCACTTTTTATATACTCCATCGAACCAATCCTCGATGCATATCTGCTTAAATCTTTTGTTTGTCAATATTTTGTGCGCTCGAGATGCTCCAAAATCCCCACAATGATCTCAACAAGACCTACGGACCATTATTATATTTTTGGCATCTCAGATTATTTTACCAAATGTGTTTTTTTGATATCTCCATATTTTATTTTGATGATGTCAAAGGGGGAGAAAAAATATGACTTTGAATTGTTACGTATGCATGTGTTTTGCTTTAAATATTTTATGTTGCAAAATTATTAAATAACTTGTTAATTTTTATTTGTGTCAAATCTATACAAATATTGCCATCATCAAAAAGGGGGAGATTGTTAATCATGTTGTTTAATTTTGATGATGTCTAAAATATTAATTGAAAATTTGTAAATAATATACATATTTTATGTTATTTGACACAAAATATTATCTATTTAAAATATATATTGTATGATACATTTGTTAAATATTATTTAAATAAAAATATATTTTTAAAAACTTTACTATTCACTTTTTGAAAAATTAGGCTGATCACTATTCATCTTTTGACAAATTTGATATTGATTGGTTGTATTATTTTGATAAATTTGATATTGATAAGTTGTCTTCTTTTGACAAAAGTGATATATCCACATGGACTGATAGGTTATATTTAATTTAAAATCTCTACAACATATACAGAAATTTAAAAAGGGTATACATGTTCAGATCTATCATAAATATTACTTAAAGAGATTTTTTTACTATGTATGCAAATATTTGTTTAGCATATTATATATAATGCATATAATATAAATAAAATACATCACGTGACTAATTAGATTTTTTACACAATTGATTATATCATGTCATATATATATATATAAATTATTATAACAAAAAAGAAGAAAAAGATGGACTAAATAATTTCATATCTTGCTTGTTTAAATTCAAAGTTTTAAATATTTTATACATAGTGAAAGTATTGAAAGTAATATAATATAATATAATGATTACAGGAGAAGACTTATGTAATTTTTCATTGTAAATCTTTGAACATGTTTTGCCTGCAGAATGAAAAAGGAAAAAAAGTTGCAAAATGCTTTGAATTTGCTTACAAAAAGAAAAAGAAAAAGTGAACAAAGAAAATTTATAGTTTGACAAAAAAAAAAAAGGTGCCCATGTCTAAATATAATGTAATGATTACAGGAGAAGACTTATGTAATTTTTCGTTGTAAATCTTTGAACATGTTTTGCCTGCAGAATGAAAAAGGAAAAAAGAAAAAAGTTGCAAAATGCTTTGAATTTTCTTACAAAAAGAAAAAGAAAAAGTGAACAAAGAAAATTTATAGTTTGACAAAAGAAAAGGTGCCCATGTCATCCATGACGTCAGCAAGGGGCGTCTTACCTCCAACGGGTATATTTTTGTATATAAATAGAAGTGTTGTGTGTGGAGAAAAATCAAGAACTTGAAGATAAAAATTTCTGTGTGCTCCAAAATTCTGAGTATATTGTATTCTGCTCTCTCACTTTCAGATCTAAGTATAGCCTTTGTTCTTACACTTTCATATTTACTCTTTGTGAGAGAATTATTGTAAAAGAGGGTTTAATTACCACTTATTTTTATTCATTATTTTTGTGAGAGATTTTGTAAGGGTGAGACATTTATTGTTGAGTGAGGCTATAAGAGTAAGTCATGTGCCAAATCCACAAGCTTGTTGGTGTATTTATTCAATTGATAGTAAAGAAATTCTCAAGGAGGTTCCTTGGGGAGTGGACGTAGGCCTGGCGTGCCAAACTACTATAAATCTCAGTATTTGATTTTCTCTCCCTATCTCTCTTACTTTTATATTGATAATTATTATTCTGTTTTTTTTATTTGTTGAAATTATGAATATTGTGTTAATTTTAATATTGTAAAATTTTTAATAACCCAATTCACCCCCTTTTGGGTTGTCTACCTAGGGTAATAGACAGAGTTATAAATGAATCTATTCGTGAATGGGTAAAAGTAGCACCAATAGAATATAAGTTGAGAGAGAATAGATTGAGATGGTTTGATCATATACAATAGAGACCAGTAGAGGCAGTAGTGAAGAGATGCGATATAATGACGATAGATGAAAGTGTTAGGGGAAGGGGCAAACCTAAATTGACGTGGGCTAGTATAGTAAATAGATATATGAATCTCCTTATTTTGACTAATCAAATGGCCTATAATAGAGTCGAGTGGAGAAGATGATTTATGTAGTTGACCGTATTTGATGAGACTTAAGACTTGATTTGGTTTGGTTTACACTAATCTTTCTTGAAGTTCAACTTACAAATAATACATTCTACAATTTTAATATAATTATATTAGCTATGTTTGGTTTGTATTTGTGAAATAATTTTGAAAAATAATTTTCTGAAAAGAGTTTACAAAATTTAAAAAGTTGTTTGGTTGTATGTTTTGAAAATAGTTTTAGAGTTTGAGATGATTTAATTTTTTTTTTATCGTTGAATAGATGAGTGTGAAAGAAAAAATGATTGATTGATGTGTAGAATGTGAGAGAATGAGAGAAGAGAAAGAAAAAGTGATTGATTGATATGTAGTAGAGAAAAAAGTGATTTTGAATTTGTTTTCAAAAAATTTCAACCAAATAAATTTTTGAAATTTTTTCTCAAAAATTATTTCTTAACAAACAAACCAAACAAGGCCATTAGACTCTAATTCAGAAGTCAAATGGATATAAAAATGATAATGTTATCTCTTTTTATATTAAAATGTATGTGTTTTTTTTATCCTTGACTTTTTACATTATTTGTATTATTTTTAGTCCATTTAATCTTATTAAAAAAAAGGTTAGTATAATTAACTAAAATTGTGAGACTTGTTGTGTTTTTTTGTAAACCTTAAGGGAGGTTAGTGTAATTTTCCCATTTATTTGTTTGCCATACTATTGTTTATATACCCTTGTTGGCTCCATAAATATTATTATTACTAGTGGCTAGCACACGCGATGAGCGTGCAAATTTCAAAAAAGTACAAATAGAGAATGACTATATAAGTTATTTGTTCTAAACATCATAAACTCATTTAAACATAGAAAAAAAAATTATAAAAATGTGAGGTAAATAGAATAAAAAAATCAACGGCTCCTACATTTTTGTTTAAGTATAAAAATAATTCTTTTACAATTATTCATATTTCAAGCATTACAAACCCAACAAATACTTACAGTCAAAGCAAATGGGTGTCGATAGAGAACCACCTGAGAAATTATTTATTCTGGACATCATAAAGTCATAAATTAACCTTCAAATATATATATATATATACACACTAAGTAAAATAATGTATGATTTAGTTGGAGTATTTTGATTTTTGTTTAAAATTTGATTAAGCATAAAACACAATCTCAAGAATCTTAAACACTTATAAGAATCTTGAACACTTATAGTCAAAGAGGTTTGATATATATAAAGAAAAATAATAGTAAACCTATTAATACAAAAATAAAATAATAATAACCCAAAAAATAAATAAACAAACTACGTTTTTAAACAACAAATTTTAAGAACACTAAATTTAAAATAAATAAAAAAATACACTTACAAAAAATCAAGACTCTTAAAACATTTATAGTCAAAGAGATTTGATATATACAAACAAAAATAATCGTACACCTATTAATATAAAAATAAAATAATAATAATAATAACCCAAAAAACAAACAAAAAAATAAAGCTTTTATATATATATATATTAAAAAAAAAAAAAAACAGCAACAACAACAACAACAAATTTGAAGAACACTGAAAAAAATACACATACGAAAAAAATTAAGAAAAAAAAACAAACAAATCTATAACCTATATAAAATGAATGTAAGAATGATATAACGCGGTCTAACGCTCTTGCTTTCTATAACCTATATAAAAAGAATTTAAGAAAGGTATAACGCGGTCTAACGCTCTTGCTAGGCATTTTACCTATCTAAATATTACTATAAAGTATATATTTTATTTTGCCTATCAACGATTTCATGTTTCTACCCCAACCATGCTCTTTATTTTAGCTATTCATCCAAATACTATTAACTTTATAGAATGCCACGTCAACAACAAAGATGGAGGGAAATAATCTTAATGATTAAATACATTTTGCCTGGCCTTGAAGGCTAGCTACATGTAGCTAGTGAATGTGAGCTGAGTCAAAATGCCTAAGCATATGCCTAGTGCATTGGAGTTGAAAAAAGTGAGTCACATTAGGCATTTTAACTAACAAGCATCATATACCTAGTGGGTTGGAGATGCTCTAACATATTCCAAGAGACCTGCTTGGATATCAAAAGTGCATAAGATTGGTATAACGCTCATGTGAAGCGGTGGAAATTGAAGAAAAGTTGAGCTTATACATACACACATGTGCAGTGCAAAAGGCTGCAACTCTTAACCTGCGAAGCTGTGGAAATTGATTTCTCCTAGAAGATTCATTTGTTCAGTGCACCGCTCGGATAACAATTGCTAGCATTCAAGCAATATAGCCTCTGCAACTTCCAAAACTTCCGCTAATTTGTTCGCTTGCTCAGCTATTGGAAAGATTTCTAATGTGTTGTAAAAGAGAGTAGGTTAGTTGGTGCACAAAGCCATGTCTATATATATATAGATATATGTGTTCTTTGTTCTATTTCGCTTCTTGTCTTGATTCAACTTCTTTGTTTCTCGGTTCACAAATTACTGCCCCAAATCCATAATCTGGTATGTAATTTAGAACTTTTCTACTCATTTTCCTGCTATATATGGATATATTGACATCTGATTTGCATGTCTCTGTTTTCATGGGTACCTGTTAGTGCATAGACAAATTAGGCACACCACCTGCTTGACAAAATGCCTAAACCCTAAATAAACAAGTAAATGAATAAAAACATATCCAGACCTTTAAACCAGTAATTAAAATTGAAATTTAAGACTAAGAAATAAACCTGTATAAGGTTTTCATTACAGGATTTAGATTGCTCAGTTTGTGAATTTGTAGGACTGCCCAACCCATCCCGTTTATTATTAATTGGTCAAGAGTATATTGGTGTCTAGGAAGACTTGAAGTTTGAAGTCTTATTACAGTCTTAGACATACAATGATACAAAAGATGTTGCTAATTATGCTATTCTTTATGAAAAACTTTCTTTTATTCATTGTGATAAACAAATTTCACCTATTGAAATCAATAATATAATGTTAAAAATCTAAAGTTCTTCAAAGCAAATGATATCCCATGAGACATTTAATATTTGTTAAAGAATGAAGTCCAATAAATGTATCCAAATGCCAATTTTTGCAGAACTTGCACCTGTGAATGAAATACCATCAAATTTTGCTGAAAAACAACTCTAATTGTTGATCTAATCCTCTTATAAAAAGTGGGAATTGAGGTCAGACCATGAGAGGGTGAATAAGGAGAGAAAAGATGAGTGGGATTGAAGATCTTCAAAGGATTTTCAGAGATTCTCTTTTTTTGAATCAATGAGACCCAGAGCTGCTGAGGTTGTCTACATTGTCACCATTTTGTGAAACTTTGTATATATATATATAAAGAGAGAGGGAGAGTTTGAGGCAGCGCTTGCAAGGGCGGAAGAGAGATGAAAGGATTGAAGGAAGAGGAGAGAGTGAGTAGGAGATGGTGGATTCGCGTTTTTTTTTTTTTTGAAATTTAGCATCAAAATGTAATTTTTTGAACTTTTTCCGTTTCAAATGTGACGGTAGGGGCTTAATTGATATGATTTCAAAAAATATAGGGATAAAATTGAAATTATTTGAAGTCTGAGGGTGTAATTGATCATCAAGGTAAAGTATAGGGGTAAAAATGAAATTTTCTCCAAATCACACATCGGAGACATTTTCCTTGAAGAAATAAATCAAAATCTTTGTTGATGCATTCAAAGCTCACCTCACGTGGAGCAAATTCATCCAACTGTAATTTCTGAAGGGACAAAAACAAAAGAGATCATTAACAAGGAGAAATTATAAAAAAAATTGAACCCTTGATTTACAAATTTCTTAATCAAGCCAGATTTCTCTTAATTGTCCAGGAAAACAGTTGTAAGAAGAAAAGAAAGAAGCTAAAATATTAAATAACATTGTCCATGTAACGTTTAGCAAGAATGGGAATATCATGTTTAGCCTTGAGACCTCTAAAAAGGATCCTCAAAATAGTTAAAATTTAGATTTAGTTTACATGTGGTTTTAAGATTGATTTGAATAAGAATAGTTGAATTTTTTAAGATTGATTCAAGTATCTGTAATTTTTAAGATTTGAATTTGAATTTAATTTTAAGATTTCAAGTCAGACACATAAACATTTAAATTAGATTAGATTCCCTCAAGTTCCACAACTTTAGTATTTATTATTAGCAAGCGTCTCTTGTGTTGTCAATAATATTCGAGATTTCGTTTCATGGACCTCCAATATAATTATATCCGTCATTCCTAGTCGAAAAAACATTCAGTGAATAACTGAACAATGTGTTGACAATCATACATAAACATCTAAATTACATTCTCCACAAGTTAAAAGCATTTTGGAATACTACACCGATCATTTGTATTGTCTAAAATATCATACATTATTCCTAATCCAAAACCAGTTCAGCTAATACAAGAGCAACGTGTTTTCCAATCATACATAAACATCTAGAAACCAGTTTAGTAAGACAATTGCTTTTGTTTCCTTGAGTTGGGAAAATTTTGCAAAGCAAATAAAGAGAAACATAAAGAATGTAAAGGCAATCTGAAGTATATCATTTTTTTTTCTTCATTTTTTCAGGCACATTGACAAACATGTGGTATGCATGTAGTGCACATAAAAACAAAAGAAAATAGGAACATGGAAATTAGGATATCATACAAGACACATAAGTGTGGAGGCAGGCATGTACATACCAGAATTTGCAGCCATGAGAGAAGAGCATTACAATATCAAGTTGAATGCAGGGATAAACATCCGACAGTGATGCTGAAAAACAAAGACAAGGATAAATACATGAAACCAATTTGAGAGAAATAAAGAAACAAAAAATCTAAAATTAGAATTAACAAAAACCTTGACTTTTGATTTTGTCATATTATGTGTCTCCCTTATTAATTCAGGAGGAGAAAAATACACATGAGAAGTAAAATCTAATCAATTCCAAAATATAGCAAGAGAGGTTTATATTTGGCATAATATAAAAGCCACCCCACCCCTCTAATCCACAATGGATGCAATCCAAACAAAAGCATAGATTCAATTTTTAGAAGTCAATCAAAGTGACTCATTGTGGGATACAAAATGTTTGCATACATGAATTTAAATATCTCATCAACTTCATATGTAATCTCTTCTCTTTAACAAATCTGGGGTCCAAAGACTAGTGGGTTTGGTTTGTAATAGGTGATTTCAGGGGCACCCACAAATCCAGTTTTACTGTAATCAAATATCTGGGTTAGGATTAGATGTTCTGAATCTGATTTTCAACTTTAGAATTCTAAACTTATTTCCCTGGTTTATTGATTTTTTTTTTCTCCTTTTTTTTTTTTTTCAACATCAAGGTGGATTTTAAATGGAGTTTTGAGCCACTTTAGCTTGATAGACATTTCAGATTCTTGGATGGAGAATATGTAAGTCCAGAAGTTTTTTTCAAGTTCTTTTTTGCCAAATTTGGTTGGTTGTTATTTATTTATTTTTATTTCTCATGGTTATGAGCTTGGCAGTGAAATTAACAACTTTAATGGCCTTTTTGGATCACTAACTATTTGATAAATTAGTTTTTTTTTGATAAACTGATCTCATATGTTGCAAAGCTATGAAAAGTTTCAATTTAAAAATGATTATAGAATCTGTAAACAAAATTCTTTCGGATTAAAAAATAAAAAAATAAAAAAATTGGAGTCTACAATGATAAACTGTTACGGTTTTCAAGTACCTTAGTTTTATGATGTTACATTATATGAATTCATTTGCTGCTTGTTCTTCTTATTTTAATTTGAGGTCTTGAAAGAATAGTTGAGCTTTAGGGCTCTATGTAAAAAAAGTTAGTCTGACAACCTTTTTTTGAATGTTGGTTTGAGTTTTGAAACTAATTACGGATGTAAAGTAGTAGAGACGTAGATGTTCAGATTGAAGCTTTGTGGGAGATTATGTCGTGAACATAACTGGTACATTTTAAGATGCAAGAGGATTATTCTGAAACTTGCATACAGAAATTGTTGTATATGTCTTCACTCTAGAGGCATCAAATATTACCCTAAAGCCTTTAATTTCATTACTTGAGTTTGTTATCTATCCAGAAGAGTTTGAGACAGCTTCCTCTCTTTTCATAGTCACATCTATCCTTCTTCTAAAGGTTTGATCCTTTTCACCTGCGATCCTTGATATTGTAAGTGGCGATCAGAGGATCATGGTTGTGGTGGAAAATCCCAGTTTGTGCTTGATCCAAGCCTGCGCAATTGACAAGTATTCAGAAAGTTGTTTGGGCGGACTGGATTAGCATTCCCATGACTAATAGTCTTAGGATTACGAATTCGTTGGATTATGTATCCTATCTTAACTAATAGTCAAGTTTAAAATAATTAGTCCGTACTTCAATTGTTTAACCAAACATCGGATTAATAATTTTATTGGACTATTAGTCCAATCCCAAGCTCATGTCCACCCAAACAAACATGACCTAAGTGTGCTATTTTCTCCAACAAAATAAACAAATTTTGAATTAATTTTGGCTTTGCTAAACTTGGTTAGGCTTAGTCAGCCATATTGTCAAGCAGATGGTATGCATAATTTGTCTATACACTAACAAACATCAATCTAATACAGAAGCATAGAAATCAGGTATTGACATCTCCATAGAAGACAAAGGAATGGAAAACTAAAAAATTACATACCAGATTGTTTGGATTTGCATCTGGTCTGTGAAAGAAAAAACCATACAGAGTTCAGCCTAAATACAAACTGCAAAATAAAGGAAGATACAACACTCAAACGAATATTCATTGTAAAAAATTGAACAATTTCTTTGATAAAACTTGAGAGTAATTTGCAGCAATGAAATTGAACAATTTACACCTCTTAATATCTCACGACTTGAGGAACAAGCTTGGGTGAAAAGCACACCGCCTAATCTGTAGCGGCATAGGTGGCTTGAATTGATGAAGAGCTTGCTGGAGAAGCACCGCATACAGCTCAGCTGGTGTCATTGTAGCTTCCCCAGCAATCTTCAACGAGGTTGATTTCATAATTTCCTGTTTGTTAGATGCACTGTTGTTAGACTCAAATCTAACGCTCCTGCTTGCCTTCTAACATTTTCCAAGAGACCTGCTTGGATATAAAAAGTGCATAAGCTTGGTATAACGCTACTACGAAGCGGTGGAAATTGAAGAAAAGTTGAGCTTATATATACACACATGTGCAGTTCAAAAGGCTGCAACTCTTAACCTGCGAAGCTGTGGAAATTGATTTCTCCTAGAAGATTCATTTGTTCGGTGCACCGCTCGGATAACAATTGTTAGCATTCAAGCAATATGGCCTCAGCAACTACCAAAACTTCAGCTAATTTGTTGGCTTGCTCAGCTGCTGGAAAGATTTCTAATGTGTTGTAAAAGAGAGTCGGTTAGTTGGTTCACAAAGCCATGTCTATATATATATATAGATAGATAAGTGTGTATACTCTTTGTTCTGTTTTGTTTCTTGTCTTGGTTCAACTTCTTTGTTTCTCAGTTCACAGATTACTGCCCCAAATTTGTTTCTCAGTTCACAGATTACTGCCCCCAAATCTACAATCTGGTATGTAATTTAGAACTTTTCTACCCCTTTTTTTTGCTATATATGGATGTATTGACATCTGATTTGCATGTCTCTGTTTTCATGGGCACCTATCATTTCCACTGGTCAATTTATTATTTCTATCATTTCACTTTTGAAAAACCAGTGTTGATGCTGTGTCATTGCAGTCCACCTCTGTTACAGATGTTTTGATTAGTTAAGATTTCAAAAAAAAAAAAAAAAAAAAAAAAAAATTCCTGTTATGAAATGTAATGTTTTTTCAGCCTTTAACTATTTATGTAATGATTAGCATATTAGCTTTTTTTGAAAGGTTAGTCAAAAATGTTTTTTTTTTTTTTTAATTGTTAAATAAGAGTTATAGATGGTCTATAAGTTGATATTTGAGAGCTGCAAGTTTCAATTAGTTCTTGCTTTCAAAAATTTGAACAATTGACAGATGGATTCTCAATAGCTTCATCTTGGGACAAAATGAGACAAATTATGGGAGATGTAATTTTTCTGTACAACTATCAATATTACTTCAAAAAGAGAAATGAGTATTCTGTTCGAGTTGAAGGGACTACAATAAGAATGGAGGGCCAAAATGTCACAAATTGGGTTTGCAAAGAAATGACAGGATGGCTATCGATTTATTGAAAACAATGCATCATTGAAATATCAAATGAGGTTGAAGCTTTTTTAGCTGATTAGGATAATGATGCTGTTCTTTAGACAAGGAAATGCGTAGCTTTAATGTTTTGATATTTAGGAAATATATTTTTTTCTTGATAAGTAAAACTTTTAAGAATATTTCATTTTAAAATTTTTAGAACAAATTTTTGGTTAGATAGACTTAAGAAATATTTTTTGTGATAAAGGAGTTGTGTTTCTTACTATATTTTAAGGGCAAAAGTGCATATATTTTGTAATTGGGGTTTTTTTAGAAAAAAAAGATTGTGGTGGGACCAAAATTTTGAATTTCACGAAGCATGATTAGATGAGAAACTCAAACATACAGCATTTTGTAAGTGTATATGTGCTACTGTAAAGATATTAGAAGTGGTGCCTAAAGAATGTGATTTTGGTAGTTTGGAAGTACTATGAAAGGATGGCAGTTGGAGTAGCAGTTGTGTTGTTTGGTTAGAGTTGGAGTAGTGGTTATAGTCTAGGGGTGCTAATAACAGTTGATGTGATGGTGGAAGGGTCGCAATGGTAGGGTTGAAGAGTTGGTTGCCTTGATTGTTAAAAGGAACATTTGGGAGTGTTTTTTGCAATTCTATAGACATTGTGGAAGGCAACAAATGACTTAATCTTTAATACGAATGAAACTAAATGGAGGTGATTATAGTTATGTGATTGTTTTGTGTTGGAGATGTGTAGTATGGTTCTTGTTTTGAACTGATCGTATTTCTCTTCCTAGTTAGTGCTCATCTTATTAATAAATTTTTTGTTGGTAAAATAAAAAAAATTAAAAATAAAGAAAAAGAACTCATCTTGTATATATAGAAATTTCTTAAATAAGCATTATAACTGTGACGCGACCCCATGCGCATAGCGCGTGGGGTCCAACTAGTTTTAAAAAAAACTATAAACTGAACTCTGAACATCATAACCAAAGAGATTTGATAAAGGCAAAGAAAAAATAATAGTAAACCTATTAATATAAAAATAAAATAATAATAACACAAATTACAAATAAAAAAACTATTTTTTTAAACAACAAATTTTAAGAACATTGATTTTTTTTTATAAAAATAATCATACAAAAAAAATTATGAAAAAAATTAAAAAAACTACAAACCCAAGACTCTGAACAATCATAATTAAAGAGTTTTGTTATAGATGAAGAAAAAAACAATAAAAAAATGAAGTATAACGTCAAAAAGTCAAAATCGTATATCACTTAGAAAAAAAGATGTGATTTAAATAAGATGATGTGACTTAAATAAGATAGTGACTTTTTGACTTTTTGACTTATTTAGTACATGCCAAACTAGCCCTTAATCTTTAATACGAATGAAACTAAATGGAGGTGATTATAGTTATGTAATTGTTTTGTGTTGGAGATGTGTAGTATGGTTCTTGTTTTGAACTAATCGTATTTCTCTCCCTAGTTAGTACTCATCTTATTAATAATTTTTTTGTTGGTAAAAGAAAAAAAATTAAAAATAAAGAAAAAGAACTCATCTTGTATACATAGAAATTTCTTAAATAAGTATTATAATTGCGACGCGCATGGGGTCCAACTGGTTTTAAAAAAAATTATAAACTGAACTCTGAACATCATAACCAAAGAGATTTGATAAAGGCAAAGAAAAAATAATAGTAAATCTATTAATATAAAAATAAACGGCAGTGATTGAGGGCCCTAAATTTCGGGGCTCGAATGCCCCGAAATTCCACTTTAAGTAAAAAAAAAAAAAAAAAAAAAAAAAAAAAAGGAAAAAAGAAAGAAAAAAAGAAACAGTTTCCAAAAATGGAAATTAGGGGCATTAGGGGCAAATTTTTTAGGGCCACCAATAAAATAATAATAACACAAATAACAAATAAAAAAACTATTTTTTTAAACAACAAATTTTAAGAACATTGATTTTTTTTTTAAATAATCATACAAAAAAAATTATGAAAAAAATTAAAAAAACTACAAACCCAAGACTCTGAACAATTATAATCAAAGAGTTTTGTTATAGATAAAGAAAAAAACAATAAAAAAATGAAGTATAACGTCAAAAAGTCAAAATCGTATATCACTTAGGAAAAAAAAAAAAAAAGATTTAAAGATTTAACAATTAAAAAGGAACTTTTGTTGGCGGAAACAAACTTCTTTTTGTTGAATACTCACAGGCCAGAACTACCGTCAATACTTCAATCATGATTTGAAACAACTGGAATGAAAGAGATAAAGGTTTTTGCCATTCGGAATTCTCAATTATTTGCAATTATCATTTGTTACCATTGTAAAAGGAGAGGAGAAACCAGAGTAGAGAGAAAGAAACCAAAAAGTGAAAAAAAAAAAAAATTATGAAAGTAATTGACTAATTATGGAAGTGTAGAGTAAGTTGAGATGGGAAAATGTATAGGGAAAACATGGGTTTGTTTTGTTTTGTGTTTTTTTTTTTTTTCTAATTGTTATTCTCCAAGATACCAAATTTGAGTGATTGTTGGAGTGTAGAGTAGGTTGGGATGAAAATTTTGAGTGATTGTAAGAGTGTGGAGTTAGTTGGGATGGAAAATGTGGAATTTTTTTTAATCAATTAAATTACACATGGCAGAAGCTTCACTACACCAAATTTAGGCCTCATTTAATATAATAGCATAGATTATTATGAAAGGACACATGACATTCTCCTATTTACTTGGAGGTTGAAGGAAGTTAAGAGTACATATGAAAGATGAAGGAGAAAGTGGAGAACATAAACCATAAAATAGAGAAGACGGAAGACATAGAGGAACACATGTCAACACAAGAATAAAGATGAGAGAATAAGGAAGTTATTAGGCTTCGTTTGTTAACATTTTCAGTTTTTAATTTACAAAAAACAAGAAATAGGTTTTCATTTATTTTTTGTAAAAAAACAAAAACAAAAAACTTGTTTGGTGTACAAAAATATTTTGGAAACAAACAAAAATAAAAATTGAGAAATATATTTGATGAGTTGCCTTATTTGGTGGCCCGAGATGGAGGATAGATGGATGTGTTGACCGGTAGTGGTGGGTAGCCGAAGGTGTCCGTGCGGAGTTAGTGGTCAGATGTTGTCGGAGGACACAAGGTGGCCGGAAAGAAGCCAAAAGGTGGCCTAAGATCACGACGGTCCTGTCGAAGAGTCGCCAGAGGTTGGCTAGACCTCAAGTGTAAGAAATGAAAAACAAATTGATTTTTCTGTTCAAATTAATCAATATGAAATATATTGGCGTGAATAAAAAATTTTGGATCTTCAGAAAGAGATCCACTTTCTTTATGAAAAAAACTTTGAAGTTGCTTTTTCACTACCATATTATTTGGTTAATAGAAAAAGACACCATATAGTTAGAGTAATTCATCAACTTGAAATGGAAATTCGCCAATAGAGGGATGAGTTGTTAACTTTCACTACCAAGTCTTTAAATATTGAAATTTGTGGAATTTTTCAGAAATTTTTTCAAGTCATTAATGGTTAAAATTGGCAAAGGGTTGACTTCGTCCATGGCTCAGGGGGTCAAAAAATCTATTCTTAAGGAGCCAAATTATGAAAATAACATGATCAAAGAGAATTTGTTGAGCCAAACATGGTTAGGAATAATGTTCCATATATGACTTGGGGGGTTGAAAAAACCCATTCTTAGAGAGCCAAATCATGAAGACAACATAGGGGATTCTCATAAGCTATTAATGGAAAAAATAGAAAAATAACTCCATTTGTCAATGAATAGTGAAAATTATTTGGCCAAAGAACATGTTCTTAAAGCAAACATGGTTAAAAATAATGAACAACTCACTGTTCATTAATTCAATATTTTTGATATTATTTAAAGGGATAAGCTTCTTTCTAGTTGGGTTTCCCAACTAGAGCATATTGTTGGGCCTTCGTGGGCTCACCACAGAGCCTCTATCAGTAATCTAAACCGTTAATGTGTAGGACTCATCGATTACTTCATTCTTTTAAAAAATCACGTTGATCAGATAGGAATAGTCACATGATCAAAACACTTTTGTGTCGACAATTTATTTTCAAAATCATATTTACCGTTGACACAAATTTGATCTAATCAAGTGGCTATCAATATCTGATCAACTTGATTTTTTGCAGGCATGAAGTACTCGATGAGCCCTACATATTGAACGGTTTGGATGATCGATATAGACTATGTAATGGGCCCACGAAGACCAACAGCATGCTCTAGTCCGATTATGGACTGCAGACAAGCTTGTGCCTTATTTAAATGTCAAGACGTGTGAAATTTTAAGGCCACCCTATATTATGGTTTTTGTTGTTCAAAATTCATTTTGGATTTGTGAGTCACATCAAAATTTGATTTTGATGAAGTGGTTAACAAAAGTCAAAATTTAGTAAGTATATTCAGTGAATTATTTTCATG